CCTCTATCGAACCTCTCCATCGGTGGCTAATGGCAATGTGATCTAGTTGGGTCCAACGTTGAGACGACTTTGGGGGTCGCCATGTCAAGAGATGTGTTTCCTTATGCTTAAAGTAAGTGTTTGCTACAAATAGGCGGTTATCTGAGCATAGTTGCAGCAGACGGTCGCCATTATCTGATCTTTGAGCCACGACATTATACGATCCACCCAGATGTCTTTCCTTTTCACTTAGTCTACCTCTACTTGAGCATTAAAGTCACCAGCCATCATTATTATATCAGAGCGCTTAACGTTTTGAAGAAGTATAGAGATGTTTTTGAAAACTCATCTTTCATTTAATATGAACTTCAGTCAGTGGGAGCGTAGGCAGATACGACGAAGAGGCAACTGCAAGTTTCCCTATCGTACTGTCCCGTTTAGTCGGACAGCGGATAAGTGACTGTCGACAGGGATCCAGTTTAAGAGAGCTTGTTCTGACCTAGAACCAAATACTATAAAAGCGACGCCAAGAGAAACAGCATCCGAGCTTCCAAAAACATGAAAAGTAAACACAAGGTTCGAACAATAAAAACTCCAATATTTAGTTTGGAGCGGGGTTTCAGGATAAACTTTTCGTGAACTCAAACTGTTTCTTCAGTGGTGCGGGGAGACAAGCAATCGAAAGAAGGGTTGGTCTTGGAAATAAGTGAGTTGTCAGGGGGTTTAGGGAGGATTTGATTGTGACCGACTCGGTTTCGTGTACTGTTACGGGTACGAGGGAGGATATCACTTCCCGCCTGCCTACATCGTGGAAGTGTGTATTCCTGTGGAACCTGGAAATGAAGATAGATCAGTCTTGGTCTTAGAGACCTGAGAGTGTGACTGCAGAGTCCAAGGGACAACTGCTTCAGGTCGGTCAGGCACGGCCTTTTCATGAGAGGATTTTAGAACATTAGCTCCGTTCTTGATTGAAAGCCATTACCACTAGAGTTGAAAATCCGTGAGGTAAGATGAGATGTGACATTTTTAGGGTCGACCTTTTCTAACCATTCCTTCCTTGTGAGAAGGCAGCATCGCTGCAGAGTTGGTCGTCCGAGGGAAACACCTCACTGCCGTCACAACCCTCTACAGTCAGCAGTACGACTTCGCCCTTAGATCTTGAGCAGTTGCTTTTAGTTTCATCGTTCTCCAATCGACCTGCCTTGGCATGGTAGAACCTTCGGGAACATATGTTCCAGCTAACATAGCTCGCTTGGGTCATCACGATATGCAACCTCAACCATCACGTCATGGTAGCAGCTACGGTCGGGAGATCCAAAATTACAGTGAGTTAATTTAAAACCATGCCAGATGCAATTCATATACTAACAAACACAGGTTTATGCACTCCAGGTGTTAATTAGGACTAAAAAGAACTGATTAAAAGTAAAGTGCTTATAGTAGGATTTACCATTTATGAAATAGAATATGAATAGACTAAGAGGAGATGTGATCAAAAAGCATACTTGGCCCAACGAAATTATGAAATGCAAATTATTCCGCTTATACTCTCCTCAACCTAAATCAACAATCAGCATACAATCCATTTATATACACCAAAGAAACAGCTTGTTAATCAATGAACCTGATTTAAATGTTGAATAACAGATTTAACTATACATACTTCACAAATACTATGTATATTTTCAAGAAAATATACATAGTATTTGTTGAAGTATGTATAGTTAAATCTGTTATTCAACATTTAAATTCAGGTTTCATTGATTAAAAGCTGTTTCTTTGGTGTATATACATGGATTGTCTGCTGATGTTGATTAGTTGAGGAGAGTATAAGCGGAATAATTTGCATTTCATAATTTCGTTGGGCCAAGTATGCTTTTTGATCACATTCCTCTTAGTTCTATTCATATTCTATTTCATAAATTGTAAATCCTACTAAAGCACTTTACTTTTAATCAGTTCTTTTTAGTCCTAATTAACCCTGGAGTGCATAAACCTGTGTTTGTTAGTATATGAATTGCATTGGCATGTTTTAAAATTAACTCACTGTAATTTTGGATCTCCCGACCGTAGCTGCTACCATGACGTGATGGTTGAGGTTGCATATCGTGATGACCCAAGCGAGCTATGTTAGCTGGAACATATGTTCCCGAAGGTTCTACCATGCCAGGCAGGTCGATTGGAGAACGATGAAACTAAAAGCAACTGCTCAAGATCTAAGGGCGAAGTCGTACTGCTGACTGTAGAGGGTTGTGACGGCAGTGAGGTGTTTCCCTCGGACGACCAACTTCTGCAGCGATGCTGCCTTCTCACAAGGAAGGAATGGTTAGAAAAGGTCGACCCTAAAAATGTCACACCTCATCTTACCTCACGGATTTTCAACTCTAGTGGTAATGGCTTTCAATCAAGAACGGAGCTAATGTTCTAAAATCCTCTCATGAAAAGGCCGTGCCTGACCGACCTGAAGCAGTTGTCCCTTGGACTCTGCAGTCACACTCTCAGGTCTCTAAGACCAAGACTGATCTATCTTCATTTCCAGGTTCCACAGGAATACACACTTCCACGATGTAGGCAGGCGGGAAGTGATATCCTCCCTCGTACCCGTAACAGTACACGAAACCGAGTCGGTCACAATCAAATCCTCCCTAAACCCCCTGACAACTCACTTATTTCCAAGACCAACCCTTCTTTCGATTGCTTGTCTCCCCGCACCACTGAAGAAACAGTTTGAGTTCACGAAAAGTTTATCCTGAAACCCCGCTCCAAACTAAATATTGGAGTTTTTATTGTTCGAACCTTGTGTTTACTTTTCATGTTTTTGGAAGCTCGGATGCTGTTTCTCTTGGCGTCGCTTTTATAGTATTTGGTTCTAGGTCAGAACAAGCTCTCTTAAACTGGATCCCTGTCGACAGTCACTTATCCGCTGTCCGACTAAACGGGACAGTACGATAGGGAAACTTGCAGTTGCCTCTTCGTCGGTATCTGCCTACGCTCCCACTGACTGAAGTTCATATTAAATGAAAGTATGAGTTTTTCAAAAACATCTCTATCACTTCTTCAAAACGTTAAGCGCTCTGATATAATAATGATGGCTGGTGACTTTAATGCTCAAGTAGAGGTAGACTAAGTGAAAGGAAAGACATCTGGGTGGATCGTATAATGTCGTTGGCTCAAAGATCAGATAATGGCGACCGTCTGCTGCAACTATGCTCAGATAACCGCCTATTTGTAAGCAAACACTTACTTTAAGCATAAGGAAACACATCTCTTGACAATGGGCGACCCCCAAGTCGTCTCAACGTTGGACCCCAACTAGATCAATTGCCATTAGCCACCGATGGAGAGGTTCGATAGAGGACTGTCGCTCACATTCTGGAGCACATGTCTAGATTCAGATCATGCTCTAGTGTGAACGTGTATTTGTCTGCGACTTACTGGACGTAGGAAAGACACTGGCAAGGAACCCCTTAAGGACCTACTTAATGATAACAGAGCTAGAAATATATCTCAAGAACAATCGATCATAGGTGTCTCCGAAGCATTGCTCGTATATCGTGGGACAACCGAGTAAGCAATGCTGTCGTTAGGAAACAAGTAAAAGGTAGCGATTACAAATCAATAGACGAAATAGTGAAACTTCATCAGTTGAGGTGTTTGGGACATGTGTTACGAATGCCTAACCACCGACTGCCTAGACGAGCTTTATATTGTGGTGTAGGAGTGAGTTGGAAGAACATTAGGGGCGGCCAAACCAAAACATGGCAGAAACGCCTGAAGTCACTGACAAATGGATTGAGTCATGTTTCTATGTGTACGACTACCTGATTTTGGTCCGCGAGGACAGATTGTAGTCGATGTTGAAGAGACCTGAATGACACGGCTCAAAAACCGTTTGCAATGGCGCTGTTTGCATTTATTGATTGTGTTCTCTCAAATTCTCACGTTCATAGTCCCTCATCACTTTGTCGTTCTTTTTAAAACTTACCAGACTCTACTTAACTAATATCCTCGAAATCTAATCTCTCCTAATACTCCTAATACTTCTACTACCTTTCTATTATGGGATTCAAAGTGGCAATTGTATCTGTGTGTTCTAATGTGGTATGGCAACCTGAACTGTAGTACGTACGTATGAAGTTCTCCGTTGTAACTGACTGGCTGACTGAACAGTAGGTCACGTAGGTCATCTATTTTATATATTTTATTTATTATGCAGGTGTTAAAGAGAATTCTACAGTGATCCATATCGAAAATAAAGTTAACACAATTAGATTTGTGCAAAACGACTAATTTATTCCATTTTCAAATCTAATCAGCTCCGAACATCTGAATATTTACAGCAAGTACTATAAATAAACAGAAAGATTTTACGTACTGTAGCTGGTGAAGTTGAGATTGATTATCGATATTCATAGTAAAAAATCATAAAATAAAAGCTATATTAATTAATACGGTTGAGATTACTACATATTGATGCGCTCACGAAGTAGTTATACACAGTAGGTTATTTGTTGTAATTACTGTTAAACATGGTTACATTGCTATGCGATTACATCACTGTAATGAAAAACAATGAATGAGTACATAATTTATCGATATAGTTAGTTAAGTTAATATGTGAGGATTAATAAAGTTGTGCGGAATATCACATTCATCATTTTTCCTTCTGTACACATAGGTCAGGTTGGAAGAGTGTGATAGGGATTGCCGCTGAGAAACGTAGTTAAACTAACATTAGCTGTTTGTTAATAATTTAGAACGCTTCATAGTTATTCCCACTAATTCTACTATCCATCAGGTGCCCAGAAGATTGGATTTATGAAGAATTTACCGCCTTTTAAACATTCGTATCTAGGACCATGTTCAGAAAATCTGGCAGAGAAACATTCTTATCTGTTCTTCTTTTAAAATGTGTCTATTCTATAATTGGTACGTTTTTCTTACCTATAGACAATTTCATTTCGATTGCAAACTGTTGATTTGATGTTTTCGCCATTGTATTTCACCTTATTATCATTTAGAATTAAAACATGCAGTTGGTCAGATTGTACAATTAGATCCACAATTTATACCAAGTGGTGCAAATATGAATATGGTTAATACAGGAGCTTCAGTAAACCGTCCTATTCTCAGTTTAAACATCAATTCCGATAATATGAATTATGATAATTCTAATTTTTCTGGGAATAACAATTTAGGAGGTAGTGTTCTTGTTGGTAGTTATCAAACATCGACTACAACTTTAACTGGTGGACCAATTGTTGCAGTTGAACAAAATAAATGCCTTCTGCCACCGCATTATACACATTATCTTGCTTGGGGTTTCACTGATGGAAGTTTACGTTTAGGCTCTCTATTCGATGCCAATGAACGTGTACGATGTATATTTGAGATGGTTGATCAAAACGAAATATTATGTTGTACGTCACCAAATAAGCATACAATTATTACAGCTGGATTAAGTACTGTAGTACGTGTATGGTTTGTAAGTGATGATATTTTGTGAACATGTTTTATTTTTTGAATTTGTTTTGTAGGAGTGTATTTTTTCCTATTTAATTCGTAAATTTATTGATAAATTTAAATATAGTGACGTATATTGTAATTCATTATTTGGTTTTTAAAGTTTGAGTCATTCTATAATTTGGAATTATTTTTGATTGAGATTTTATCATTTATATTCATGTTACTGTTTTTTTTTAAAGGCTGATTTGAGTTTTATTTTGAAAGTCGGAAACTAATTTAAATTGAGGATGGAGTCACAGACAACAGGACTAAGCTATGTTGGTAGATGTAGACTACCTGGTCGGTGTCTGCGAGACAGTGGTAACTGATTCTTTGAAACTTTGAATGACATGGTTCAAGATTGTTTGCACTGACAGAGATGCATCCATTCTCTGTCCTCTTTCAAATTCTAGCCTGAATGCCTCATGACTTTTTTTTTCTCTTCTTTAACTTGATTCCATTGGGATATATTTCTTGAATTATGTCTTCGATCCTGAATCTTTTCCAGTACATTAATTTGATTACATTCCTATGACTAACTTTTTGTATGTTCTTCTCATACATCCATAGAATAGATAAATAAATATGTAGTGAGAATTTGTGAACGTTTGTTGGCTTTTGAAATGCTGATACACATGTTTCCTGTTATAGTTTTTTAAAATTCTCTGACAGTCTATTTATATTATGCACATTAGTTTGTCTCCTACCTTCTTAAACCTATGTATTTTCTTCTTGATTAATTAACAGCTTAATTCTCATGAAGTGGGCAGTAATATGACAAGTTCAAGTAATACTTCCAGTATTGGCATGATGTCATCATCGTCATCAGTTTACGGATGTCAGTCGTTTGGAGATTCACGTCTTAAACTTCGTGCAACTCTATATGGACATACCGATGCTATAACTTGTTTAGCTGCATCTGATTCATTCAATCTTATTGTTAGTGGAAGTCGTGATAGAAGTTGTATATTATGGGATTTAAGTCGTTTGTGCTTTTTAAGACAATTAACCAATCATATTGCACCCATTGCAGCTATTTGTATTAATGAAGCTACAGGTGATATTGTAAGTTGTGCTGGTACACATTTATATTTATGGAATTGTAATGGTGAACCGATTGCTTCAGTTGATACCCCAGTCGGTCGTAATAAACAAATCCTATGTGTTTCTATGAGTACAGTAAGTTAGTTGATTATGGCTTTTTTTTCTAGAGTTTCTTTTTTGTCATTTTCTATGAATTGAATGTGATCTTCATTTAGACTGACTGACCAATTTTATGTTTGTCTAGTCCTCGTAGTTTATTGTTGATGTATTTAGTCATGAAATTGAGATTTAAAACGGAATGGTACTGAATGCGATTATAACCCAAATTTCCTATGGTAAAAATTGAAACCTATTAAACGGTTTCTACTTGTGATTTGTTTTCCATTCATAATGACAATGATCACCTTTGAATAGTAAATTTGTTTATCGCTTGGAGATACTCAGTTTTGTTTGTTAATGAATATCGATAAACTTGATAAAATGTTTCATTGTGAAACTGTTAATCCATGGGTTGTGAGTATGTTGAAAATGATACTGAATCATTCTTGACCTTACTGGTTAACATACTGCATGTTATTTATGTATAATCTTTTCGTCTGTTTTTTTATTACAAAAATATAGCTTTATGATTGGGATGCTGAAAATGTTATTTTGACCGGCAGTTCAGATGGTGTAGTACGAATGTGGTGCTTAAAGCACGTTTATTCTACAGATAATGATACTAATGCAGTTGACAAAAACAATTTGAATAGAAATCGAATTGCTGATGATGGTAATCAACACGAGGTTTCTGCTTGTAATCCATTACATGAAAATACTATAGACGAATCTCGAATGAAGCACTTATCGGTAGGCTTTTCAATTTGTAATTCTACGGTGATGTAATCATCCACCTTTTAAACTAAATTTTGATTAAAAGATCATTTTTGTTATGGAATGATATCAGCTGAAAATTTGTTTATATTCTGACTGGTGATTATTTTCAACTGTTCAGTACTCTTCAGCTTCAAATTTTTCTGCAACTGTTGTCAGTCCTTAAGAAAACTTATCGTCGAACCTTAAACTTTTGTTATTTACTGATCTATTCATTTTCATATAACCAATTTGTTGAAGTGCATAAGTCGTTTCATATAATTTATGGTTCAGCTAGTTAGTCAGTAATAATGGTTTTCATTTTATTTTAATACATAAACATGGATATAAAGGGACACCTAAATGTTTATGCGCCACATATTATTGGATTTGGGAGTGGGTCGGGATACCGCCTGGACGCCCAAACTCGAGGCCACACCCCGAGCCTTTGACTCAGAAGTCTGATCCACAAATTAATAGAGCAACATTAGAAGGCGCAGTTTCATGATAGCCGATGATTAACAACGGGTTCATATATCACTTGTTTCTTCGTGATCCTGAAGCCCATGTGCACCATTAGTTTGGAATCACGATTTTCCAACTCCCCTAGTTTGATCCATCGTGCGCACCAACCCAATTTAGGCGCTGAATATTCGCTTATCGCCCTCTCAATTTCGTAAACAACACCAAAGACACAAGAACTCAGTGATTATGACTCTACTGACAGTGGGTATAAACGGATGGCCATTTGAGCGCATTTCGAAAGAGATAGCTAACTCTCCCTACTCTAGGTCGTTATAGGGCATATACCACCTAACTAAAGATTAGATTTTCGGTATTACCTTGATTAATTTAGTCGTTACTGGATTTTTTTGCCGTTATCATTAGTTTTAAATTATCATCTTTTCCAATAACTGTTTGCTTTTAAATTTGCCTCTCTTGTTATTGTTTTAATAGACTGTATCACAAGATTCCTCTGGAACTATTGATTCATCTTGTTTGTCTACCGATTTAACATCGAATAGAGTAATTAAGAAAGATTCTAGTAAGTTTGTTTTATATTGTGAGTAAAAAGCAATGAGACGATATAATCCCATGGTTTTTTCAACTTGGAGAAATAGGCATTGTGTTAAATGTGACTTGAATGTCCTAAATTTCATTTACGGAACAGTTGTTAACTATGATGACTTGATGGATTTTCCAACTGATATCAGTTGATTGTAACTGGTGCTCTGATATCGGTTATTTTCTTCTTTCATAACGGAAAAAAGAATTGAATATTTCAACTTGACTAGCTCATGATACGTTCGTAGCATAATCTTTAACAAAATTCTCCGACCGTTCGAGCGTAAAGCAGCTGAAATTAAAATGAGGGTTTTTTAAACATTAGAAAGCTGGTAATTGGAACGAATTCAACGATATAGACTAGGTTTATATATTTGGCGTTGCTGATATGTCTGTACTGACTTTGACCACGTAGGTCGCTGATGGGACAGATTTCTTTCGATCGACCCACTGAGGGTACATCCTTAAAAAAATCTTGTTAACTAACTTAGATAATTTTTTTCCTGACAATTTATTGGGTTAAAATGTTAACTCGGGCCGACCACCTTTCTGTCGAATTTCACTCAGGTCAGGAAATCTTTATAGTACATTCAAAGTATCATGCATAAATGATTTTCCAGAATATCCTCTTTTAACGCCTTATGTGGATGACGGTTATTTTATTTTGTGACAGCTTTAGTGAACCGAATATATTTGTTTATCATTTTTTAAAAGTTGAAAAAATAATAATTTACTACCAAACTCTAAGTGTTATGCTTTTTAGTTTTACATGTCAATGTGAGAGTGTGCTGCATATTATTCTTAACTGCACCACATTGTGATCCTGTGGTATTCATAGTAGTAACGATAAAATATACTTCGATAATGATTAGTAAAATAGTCATTGACTCGGAAATAATCCGTGTGAAAAATGCTCAGATGGAAGGAAAACCATATTTTGCTGGATTTCCGTGATCAATGTGATTGATAATATTACTTCATTGATTTCAACTAATACTTATTATTCTGATAGTTTATGTATATTGGTAGTTTTTCATCTAGTTCACCATAATAGTGCAACTTATTTTTGTTTTTGTAATATTGATTAGCTATGCCAGTTGACACAATATGTTTTTTTTAACTATCATAAGCATCATGTCATTATAAATTCCTCATAATTGTAGATGTTAAGAAATGGTCTCGTATTCTAGTATTTCGCAGTAAACTTACCATGCATACAGCTTATGAACGTTCCGATAATAAGTCTCCAGCTGACATTACAGCCTTAGCAATATCTCGAGATCATCGTTCAGTTCTAGTTGGTGATGCTATCGGTCGAGTATTTGTTTGGTCTGTACCATCAGATAATTCTCGTGGTGGTATGACTGATCAATGGGTTAAAGATGAAGGAGCTACAAATTGTGCAGCTGATGGTTGTACAACACGATTCTCTTTAACTGAAAGAAAACATCATTGTCGAAATTGTGGTAAAGTATTTTGCTCGAAGTAAGTTGATTTCAAACTTTTTCGATTGTAAGTAATATAGTGAGCCATTTGATGACAATTGGAAATCTCGTAAAGAGCGAATGCATATCACCTGTCAGGTTCAGTTTCCAAGGGGGTGAAATATATGTGCATAGACGAGCATTTGTACGTATGATTCGGTAGCTAGATAGACTTTCACTCCCTCCTTTTGGCTCAAGTGGCCACTTTTGAAGGGTGAGCACAAATTGAGTTGAGATCTCGGCAGCCGCACATCATAAAAGTGATTAATCAATGTACACTTTAACAGAAGTGGGTTATTTAAGTTAATCAAGATCTTTTAAATTTCATTTGAATTGGTATGTTGTTTGAAAAAGTCTAATGTGATGATTTAGTTCATTAGTGCATTCAACTATTAACCAATAGATTTTAGCTTTGAACTTCATTTCTCCTACTTTGTTTCATCCAGCTAGGTGATGTTATTTGTATTCACACACCCAGTGTGGCTCAAAGCCAAATACACAAACTCGCACTTGGTAAATAATTTAAATTAGGTTGTAGAAGGTAAACACGCGTCAATAAACTTAGATTTATTTTCTTACTACAGTTTTACTCATAATCAACATAGAACCTGATACATATGTGTATTGACTGAAGTTACCAGATGATATCAACAAAATAAGATGAGATAGAGAAAATAACGTAGTGCATGCATATAGCACACAACTCTCTCAAAACCTAGATCACGAAAATAGCGTCATGCACTGTCTGATTGCGCTCGATAAACTTTTTGATTTCTAGAATACTCTAAAAACTTAAATAACAAAACCCATTTGCTTATTTTCTTTCATATATACTTGTCAATCATTTTAATGTCACTTTTTGAAAAATACTGATGAAGAAAAAGCTTAGGTGGATCCGTTAATTTTGTTACATTATTGGAAACTATTGTCATGGATATTAGATTAGTTAATTTAGAAGTCTAAATCTGTCGATATATATATATATATATATATATATATATATATATATATATATATATATATATATAATTTTCTACTAAGATGTAGGCTGCACAGTTCATGCTAGACTTTTCAGACAAAGTGAATGGTACAGAATCTTCTGTAATATTGCTAGTTTTAGAGTTAAAACCAAATAGTTGTAATCAATATTATATAAAAAGATGTATTTTGTGAATTTTTCTTATTGAATTCACTTTGTATTTGTTTTTTTTAAAAATATAGATGTAGTCGGTTTGAAAGTGAAATATATAGACTAAGGTTGTTTAAACCAGTGCGAGTTTGTCAATCTTGTCATAATGTGTTGAAATTAATTCAAGCACCACAAAATCGAGATGGAGTTCCATCTTAAGTAATGCGTGTGCAAAACGGTTTTATAATGTACATAATACACATACCTACACATATGCAAACATTCCCATTACTAATCGAAAATAAACTCATTTCGCTTGCTTAATTTTTGTTCAAAAGTATTTATACCGATCGAAATTTTGTCTTTTTTTTCTCCGTAACGTTATTCAAGTGTAATTTTTCTCGCCTTCTTTTATGACTTTTTCTTCATTTATCAAGTTTTTCTTGTGCTTTTTTTTAAAAAAAAACATTGCCCATCATAGTGTCCTTTAATTAGATCTACTTTTCGCTATTGCTGTAGTTGTGATGGTGGTCGGGTGTGAATATAAACTTCTAAGTAATTATTTCTCTGATCACTTTTTATTTGGCTTTCATGATTACAATGTCTACATATGCATTTTCTTTTCTACTGAGTGTGTTGAGATCTTGGAACCCTGTGTTTGTTTGTACATATCTGAATTCCGCTTAGATTACTGCGCCTGTCTTAATATTTACAATTTTGAAATCCTGTGTATAGGATTATTCAGCTTGAATATGCAATACACGCTTACATAAATTTGTGTTGGTATGGTCGCTTTTTTACCATTGTTTTGTACTCCGTCTTTTTTCTTAAGAAAGGGAAACTGTATTGTTTCTTCTTTCATTTGTGTTTATTGTTCAGCGAGCTTTGTATTCTACTATTGCTAATTTATTTGTGTTGCATTCTCTGTTATGCAATTGGATCTTCCATCATACTGTGATATGTATACTTGAGAAAATATATGTTGTGTATTTTTTTCAGTCAATCACTTATTCGTTATATATATATTTCAATTGTCATAGATAAATTCAGTGTTCAGTTTAAAAACATTTATTTTATGAATTCGTTTACGGATTCGTGTATTTTGGGGTTACATGTTCCATTTCTTCAACTGGCTACGAGCACCCATTACACATTAGTTTGTAGGTTTGCCATGTTTGTGTTTTATGGGTGTTTATGTTGTGTATAGGAATCCGTCTGCTAACTAAAGGACAATTGTATTGCACAGCAGTTCAACCCGTTCTACTTTATGGCTGCGAAACATGGCCAGTCAGAGTAGAAGATATTCGTTGGTTGCTGGTTCTCGATCATAGGTGTCTCCGAAGCATTGCTCGTGGGTCATGGACAACTGAGTAAGCAATACTGTCGATATGAAACGGGCCGTAGGTAAGGGTGGCAGATCAATAGATGAAGTATTGAAACTTCATCAGTCTAGGTGGTTTCGATATAAGCTGCTTACGTCTAACCACCAACTGCCTCGTCGACCTATGTTTAGCGATGTAGGAATAGGCTGGTGGAAAGTTAGGGGCGGCCAAAGCAAAACATGATACAAATCCATGAAGTCACTGACAAGTGGACTTAGTCATGTTGGTAGGTGTCGGCTACCTGGTTGGGAACCGCGAGATGATAATAATCGGTTGTTACAGACTTTGAACGACATGGCTCAAAAACTTTTGCAATGGCACAGGTGCATTCATTATCTGAACTCCTCATCACCTTTATCTTTCTCATTTTTAGTTTGTTTCACTATATTCTACTTCTTGACTAATATCCTCGAAATCTAGTCTCTCCGATTACTGCTAATACTTCTACTGCCTCTACTACTATGGGATTTGAATTGACAATCGCATCTCTGTGCTAATGTGGTATGGCAACCTGAACTGATGTACGTACGTACTACCAAACACCTGGAACGGTACCGAAAGAACAAGAATCGAGCGCAAAGAAATCAACTGCTTTATACTAGCTCGTAAAAAAGATACTAGATATTGGAAGTTCTACGTCTCAACTTACTGACTGAATGACAGTTCTTTACTATCTTTATTTAGGCCAGTGAGTGGTATTTATACAAAATATCGATGATGAGTGTTTTAAGTGGAATCATAGCACAAAAAATGAAAATCGCTTTTAGGGTTTTTTTTCTATCCATAAACTAATACCATTGGACTTCAACGATGTTACTATCTTCCGTCTTATTTCTAGTCAAATTAATTAACCCTAATTAACTAATAAATAGCCCCAGTTAACCCTATGTGTTATATGACATGTATATATTCTTTAGTCATGGTCAATGGATTATTGATGGTCTTCCTTCACGTCCAGATGTTTGGAGAAGTTTCACGGAGAATGCTCCAGAATTACTGCCTGATTTAATTGTTTACTTAGAAGATACAAGTAACAATTCAGAGTACTTACTTCGACGATGGATTGAATTAAAAATTGAAGAATTCAGTGGTTTGTCAAATATTTTAGAGTCATTTATTCGGTTGTAATTGTTTTAATGTAATCACCGATTATTTTGAAAATCTGGTTTCAGTAAGATGAGCGGAACGAAATTATTTTGAATCTGAAAAGTAATTCATTGTGTATGAATACGTTTATTTACTTAACAAGATGCTTTTTGGGCGGGGGTGAAAACGCCAAATGACTTTAGATAAATCCAGATTGTACATTTTTCTTAGTGTAGAAACAAAATTTTTTTAGTCAAAAATTATTTCAGCAAACACTAGGCAATTTTTCTATTGAAGTGGAAAATTGTGATTTCATTTACAGTCTGACTTACATCCATTTAGCACACTGTAAACAATAAGGTTATTTAGTATAGGTAACTTAAAATGTGATATTTAGTTTGTAGTTGAGAATTCTGCCTGCAACGTAAAGTTGTCTTCGGTTTTAGAAATAAGTGTGTTTATTTGATTCTGATAAAAGCCAAAAATCAAGGTGGACCTAAGAAAAGTGAGCGCTAGGGGTTCATAAAGAGCCCAGGTGTCAATTTATGTATCTAATCGCCTTAGATTCTTGGTTGTTTACACAGGAGCGTGTCAACTTCCTTACGTCTCTACGCATATAAATCCAGCAAAATAGTTTTGCTAAGAGCCAGATGGTTGCTGAAACACCTGAATGAGGAAGTCTATACAGCTTATTGATTACATGTTTACATGACCGGGCAAAACCGAAAACCAGAGAATGAAATCCCGGAAACTCATAATTTGATGTCCCCTTCCACTTACCTTCATTTTCTTGGGTTGATTAGTTAGTGATTGCGTTCTAACAGGTATAAGCTAATGATTGGAACTGGTATGTCTGCATTCACAAAATTTCCGTGAATAGGTTTTCATAGACTTAAATTAGTGTAAACGTACCTTTTATCGTGTGTGGAGAACGACTTTCCATTTGTTGCCAATAGAATAAACTGTGGATCTGGCTGAAAGCCATTTAATTTCGCAGGAAGGACGCGAACCAGTGCGTCTGTGTCGACGAGATAGAGAACCTTTTCGTCACGTCTGCGAGGTTTAACAGATGTTTACATCCACCAAAGATAATCAATATTCGAATATATTGAGTAAAGACGGATTCGTGTATTTATTTTTAGTCGATTCTGCAAATAATCTTGATCATTACTGTAGCACATGTTCCGAATCGTCCATAGCAATACCCTCTACAACAGCTCTTCACTGTCTAATATGCAACAAACAGATTTTAACTGTCAATCATGAATCTCTTATGAAGCCTCACACATACTAAACGACTTGTCGTGCTATTCCGAATCTTGTTTCATTTGTACATCATATTATAAATATCACCACTCGTGCTGCGACCAAACAATACCAAATTCCTAATCATATCGCGGTGCCGTATACCCACTGGTTGTGTTGATCTACATAACATGCCACTCTCATAAGCTTTTACAATAACTTGTAAGGTTGGTGAAATAAACGTAAATCCTGACCAACGAAACCATCAATTTGAACGTAGCTTTATCTTAGACGTCTGGTCAGTGGATGTTGTTAACAGGTAAGAGTGAATGGTGGATGAAATTAAGAGACCAATTGAAGACATAGTTTAGCTCGTATTTTGATCTTAGTTGAATATTTATGACGATAAAGAAATAATGGACGATATCCTAGATATTTTACCCAGTAAACACAGATAATTTTAAATCCATATTCGATCAAACTAGGCAACGAGAATGTCAAATCAGGAACTGAAAGTGAAGTCTAGGTCGCAATCTTTTATTGATAGAATTTGATCTTTATTCCGAATTCTGCTCCAACCCCTAGATTTTTCACATTTCGAACCAACAAAATAAAAGTATGAGCTTGATCACTTGGAGTAGTCCAGATAAAATAATTGCCATATGTTTTAATTGTTAAAGCGATCTCGTAGCTTTAAAAGTGTTTTGGGAGAAATAGATTTCTTCCAAAATATTTGGTAAAAGCCAGGGTGATCAGATTTCATGATGAAACAATAACCTACATTACCTACAAAGAAAATCCTGTTTCTTTAAGCAGGGTTGAATGTACTATCTACTTACATACTTCAAACTATATACTTAACTAAAGACCAGCTGAAAATACCTCAAGGTTTCTAAACTTGAAATGTTCTAACATCATTTGCCAGTCATTGTAATGATCAACTAACAGTTCAAGAATTTGTTATGTATTAATTTGAAGCCCGAATAAAGGAGAAGGGGTGGGTATAGGGTTATCGAATCCAGTCTGTACAAAACTAATTCGATAAAAACTAACCGTAAAAAGTAATTCAAATCATTTAAACTCTGCCCTAACGGTTGGAAGGTCTTCATTTACAAGAGTTATGACGTCTCATAATGAGAACCGATTTCCTTCAGAATTCACGAGGCCGATACCCCTTCTAATTACTACAGCAACCATTAATTTAGGTATATAGGATGTCCATACATTGTGGAAGACCAGGAGAGTCATCCAAGTTCCAGCTGAAACAAAATGATACAACCTTAAGGTACTCGGAATCCGTGAAACGCATTGGACGCAGGTTAGACGAAAAGAAAACACCTTCAAGAGAGACGCTGTTATACTCCGGCCATGAAGAATAAAATGACCCATGTGCACTGGGGCTGGTCAAAAAAGCGCAAAACACTTATTGGATGGGAATCTCATGAACCGGGAATCATCAAAGCATACTTCAAATCAAAGAAAGAGGAGATTACAGTGAATATCACTCAGTGCTATGCGCCTACCAATGATAACAGTGAGGATGTTGAAGATCAACCCTATGGGAGGCTGGAGTCAATCGTCTAGAAATGACCAACAAAGTACTTGATCATTGTGACGGGAGACCTAAACGCCACGGTTGGAATAGATAACGCTGGATATGAAGATATCATAGGATGTGGGTCGGGAGAAAAGTACGAAAACGGTGAGGGATTCGCAAATCTGTGAGCCTTTAACAAGCTGGTCAGATTCCTAGCTAAGGAAGTCTGTTGCCCTATTTGGTACGAAATTGAAACATTAAAAGCTGCAACAAATAGTTTAGAGTGGGGTTTTGGGATACCAGGAATTATGTGCCATGAACTCGGAGTGCTTACATCAGCGGTGCGAGGTAAAAAAGGAATGAAAAAGGGTTGGTCACGGAGATAAGAGAGTTATTAAGAGGTGTAGGAGGGATTTGATTGTGATATATTTGGTCTCGTGTGTTTTTACGGGTATGAGGGCGGATGTCACTTGCCTGCTACCCACACCGTTGAAGGATACTTCTTGAGAAAAGGAAGTTCGATTAATGTTCATCTTAGAGATCTGGATTCCTCATCACCTATATCTTTCTCTTTTTAAGTTTATTCACTAGATTCTACTTCTTGAATAACAACTTCGAGCCCTGATCCCTCCAATTACTTCTAATACTTCTACTAACTCAACTACTATGGGATTTGAAGTGACAATTGCGTCTATGTGCTTATGTGGTATGACAACCTGCATTGATGTGCGTACGTACGAAGTTCTACGTTGAAACTAAATGATTGGCCGAAAGCATCGTTTTGATCGGTCATACGGCCACCAACAACTGAACAGTATAAAACTGATCTATAAACCAACGTTGTTCAACCCTTTTCGAATCACGAAATTTTCGGGTAAGTGGCCCGTATTTGGCTTTTTCTCTATATGAACAGTTGATCTGCACAATACATTGTACCAAAACATCTTATTCGGACAACCATAATCGGTAAACTAGAAAATGACAAAGATTGATCAGATAGGTATTCTTTTTATGATCTTGACTGGTCTCATGTGTAATATTACTATAATTTTGAAAAGTCACATTTCAAACCGATCAGATCAACAGCTGCTCAATACTTGGAGTTGACCATATCAGTTTTATTAGCTAGGGGTCGATATTCAAGTATATGACACTAACCGCATTATCCACCAAGTTTTTATTTGCTAACTGTCATGAGAAACCAAAATATCCTGAAACTGTTTTCATCCATACAAATGACCTTTAGAAACCTTTTTTTCAAATACAGACTATTCAGATGAGACAAATTAAGAGGCGGCTATCGCGCAAACCTTATGCTGTTTTGGGATTCTTCCCAATCGTATTATGTCAGGAGGAAATCTGTGAAACTGGTCGAATTTGTCGGTGGAATGCACAAAACGACAGATTATAAATGAAAATTAAAGACCATGTATTAGCAAACATAAAACAAGTTGTACAAGTGTTTACTTCGTATAAATAAACTGATAAAAATATTTACAGCAGTTTAGTGAAATTATTACAGGAAATTACGAAGATTCATTTATCACATGACTGGCTGCACAAACATTTTTTCTGAACTTAGCTTTCATACACAAACTAAAAAAAACTCCGAAAACGCAAGATAGGCTGAGTGAGACACATCATTGATTAGAAGAATACATTCACACTACTTTCCTATCAAATCAAGACATCCATATTAAACAAAATAGATACTAACTGAAACAATAATACAGAACTCAGCTGAATCACCACTAGAGATGAATTGAAAATCTGAAATGGTCTTGTGAGTAGTTGTGAATTTCACATGACTTGTCACCAGATATTCAAAGCAAAACGAAGATGAATACACGAAGTAAATTACACAAACAAAAGTATATTAAAAGTAATCTTGGCGCCTGAAGATACACCCAGAACTGTCGTGACAAACGTCATTATATCTTGAAGTGAATTAGTTGGCGAAAGACCTGGCAAACATAATGTAATCTTATATTAGCTTGTCATTTAAATTGTTTACACAGGTTATCATTTATTAGTGTGTAATATTAGAAGTGTGTTACACCTAACGGATATATGAAACAACTTCCCTGATGTCGAATGATATCTTATGATGGAAAGATATGTGCCTAAGATTTCAAGAAGTGATTATATTTATTGACGGACAGAAGACGCAGTGGACTTATTGGAGCTCCTCAAGATGGACGTAATATTTGATTTGCCTCCACATGAATTTCTTGAATTAGTTCATATACTGTCGCACACAGGTTTAGTAGGGCTGTAGCCAAAACAGGTAACTATGTAGATGGCCAGCAATTACAATCCGTTTCTGAAATGTACGTTAGTACAAACCCAGGAAGTAATGGTCAATTACAAGGAGAACGATAAGCACAAACATACAGGACAGTAGCAGGGACACAAAATGAATCAATAACAAAGGGCTAGTTGTGTTCATATAACCGGGGCAATTTCATGACTGGTAGTTAACTAAAAAGAGTCAGAGTAGTTGCTGGTAAGGGAATGTCTTAAGTGATATGCGCTTAACTCAGATATTATTATCGCCTGAGACCAGCTACTACTACTACTACTACTACTACTACTACTACTACTACTACTACTACCATAATCACAAATATGGCGAAATTACAATGGCATCCAGGTATTGTTTTATCTTGGATATTGTAAACTCTTTAACGCAACACATAAATGATAATCTTACTTTACAAATCATTTACGACGACCTATGACAAGCTTTGATTTTTTGCGGTCCTTGGAAGGTATTAAATCGTCATCATCATTTTGTGATGACAATTCCACTGAGATTTTGCTATTCTTATTCAGCACGTAGGTTGGATATCTAAAGATAAATATATGAGATCTAAAATTTAGTCTAATACTCATTGTTTTCGAACTTTCGCTTTTTCTCATTCAAAACAGCTGAGAACTTTGACAGGAGGATAGTTTCCTTATCATCTACCTGTGAAACTATCTCTTCGTATTTCTGAGAACCATCAAAATATGAGGGTTTTTACTTTTGCGGAGATCTCAGCTAAAGATTTTAAATTCCGGTTTTCTCTCTCGATACTACTGCAACATGAAATTGATCCCTTGAGACTAGTCGTAATGAGACAAGTTAATTCACAGAGAGATTCAAGTGGATTTTGTGCAGGTTCTAAGTGAAAAGATCCGAAGATAATCTAAAACATAATAAAGTGTACTTCAATACCTTAATGCCTTTCTTAATTTCTTTGGACCATACGAAATTTAAATTTGGCCCATCCTCACTCAAATTAAAATGACTAGATGGGTCAAGCGAGCAAAAAGACTCTGACAGGTTCTGTGTATATTGATCACGTGATTGTTTGACCAAGTCGCATAACTTATCAAGTTTCGTAGCATCCACTGTCAATTGTTGAAATCAATAAGGACTAACAAACCAACTGTATGCCACAGACCGTTTTTGATGGCTGTGATAAGGATGGAGTTTTCTTCACAAACAAATATGACGCTGTAACCACTAACTTTAGCATGTCCACATAGCTTAATTTGCATCTCCAGAGTTCATAAACAACACTGACCTTCTTTAACCAATAATGCTTGAGATAAAGAAATGCTCAGTAGAATATTTCTTATCTCTCTGCATTTAGGTGAAGAACTGAAATTAGTCTGGAGTGATGTAGAGAGATTATTAAAAAACAACTACTAGATCGGCAAAAATCGACTCTATCCATAGTAACCTTCCGGAAACGCTACAAAATAAGATTACATAAAAAATTGAAACAGTAGCCAAAATTATAGCGGAATGTGTGCTGAACATGCAACAGACTCTCATCCTACTATGGCATAGCTCAGCTTCTCTAAATAAAGTCGTTTAAAAGTAATGATTTCTGCTATTTTTAACGTTGATCACTATCTCAAAGTACCCAAGATATTGTGGTTATACCTCAGAATGGGCCAATAGAAACTATTCTCGGAACGGCTGGGCTAGAAATTTATCTTACGCTCATGTGTCCACTATTTTTTGTTCACCTATAATCGATGAGCTCAAGAATGTATCTTTAATCAATCACCTCGCTCTGAGAAAATAAGAAATTAAAAGTAAAACAGATTCAGACGACTGATAGTTTTTCACTCTTGTTGACTCGTAACCTAAAGGTAAATGCTCAGATTTGTAAACATAGCAAGTTACATTCCTAATACCACTTTTTCATTGTTAGTGAGGACTAGAGTAATGAATCTATTACAGCAAGATAGGTCCATTTGTACTAGGTAGTTCACAGTACGAATATGAAGTATCTTAGTGGTTTTTTCAACCTTCATTCAAGATCGTTGGACGAAATTTTAACCCATTGGAACCTAAAGTGAGCCAACACAAGTTAGCACACTGAAAATCTATCCTTTGCACACATACCAATTACATGCGATATCCTAAGTCATGGATCTCTCTGATAGTCAGTCACCTGATAGAGAGTATTTAGAGACAATGGTTACTAGCAGATATTGCCTAGACCATAATTGTTACTGAGCTCGAAATCCTGCAACGGTACACAGCAGCGAGTGATCTATGACCATATCAGTCTGTTACGTGTTTCTAAAACCAGGTTTGAGAATTATAGTGTAATCAGAGAAGCTAACTGGCGATCTCTGAGTAAGCTTTTGACGGACGAAGTTTTATGTTCTTGAAAACTCCCAGATATCTGTTGATTTTCGTGATTTTTCGACTTAAGACAGCTAACCGCAATCTGTGGGCGTTATCCATTGACCTGAAAGGTAACAGTGGCCTGTGACCCTGAAAATCTGGCCCAATTCCGACAAGATTTCTTTCTCTCAGCTTCCTCATTCCAGACTTCTGGTTTGACTGTTTCTAGAGGCTCCGATTGGGCGTTATGGAAAACAACATTGTCAAACACTAAATAACAGCGACACCTTTAAAGGTGAGCCCAACGTGATCCTTCACATAAAATGATAAACTGTGAGTTTGCTCCTTGTTGTACTGTTATGTATATCTTGCATGTTATGATATTATTCTGTGCTATCAGATTTTTTGCTCATTCACAATATTTCACTCATTATGTTGGAAAGCACACCCGAGCTGCTTAATATTAAGACTGGAACGTCCACATCGTGCAAATCATGCCAGTTGAAACCTGATTCTGCTTTGCAAAAGCTGACTGTCAGGAACATAGCTCAACAGGCAAACATGATCAGTTCTTCCAGTGGTTTGAGTGGTTCGCACTCAAATCGGATCAGCAGTGCATCAAGGTCTGGTCCGCAAGAATGGAGTAACTGATCGCAAGGAGGGATTTCTCAGATATAACAAATCCTAAAAACATTGAGTATCGTAAATCAACTGTGTTCATGCTATATAGCATTCTAGCCCCGAAACACTTACACGAACGTGTATCAATTAATGTTAGTGACAATATTATCACATTTGCTTTGCATTGGGGGTCAAGTCTGCCCCGGCTAAATACCAGCAAGTTATCAATGCAGACGTTTCAAGTGCCTTGGCTCGAGTGAATGACGTGTTAGGCATGACCAGGAAATTATTCAGCCGTTTGTATATGATTTCTGTCTGCAGTAAAAAATATGGATTCAAACTAAAACAACAGGAACGTAACTACTTCATGACTTCAGTCACGTACCTCGAACTTTTTGTCGGTTGTCATGAAACAGGCTCTGATGAGGAGAATATTGAAGCTAAAAAACGGATACCATTGCCATCTGACACCAACTCTCTTTGATCACGTTAGGAGTTGGTGATACAATATCCTCAGTTCGTTCCATCTGTTCATCAATATCGCGTCGTCTAAATGAACTTCTAAGCAAAGAGACGAAGTGGATCTTTTGAGCATGTATGGAGAACGCTATTTTTCCAAAATAGGAAGAGAAGCACCGGTAATTATTTTTGCAATTAAAAAGTTTCATAATATGACCTATGGTCAATAATCAGCTCTCTTAATAGATCATAAACGTATCATATCAATCCTCGACTCAAAGGAAATGATCATGGTCTACTCGAGCTTGATAGGGACGGTGTGACGTTCAAGGTTACATTGAATTCCCACTTCCTGGTTGATACTTGACACAGACTACCTTTTTGTGGCATCCGTAAACTGTGGCTACTTTGACGACTGAATGGGACAAGTATGAGATTACTAATGAAATACAACAATAAGGAACAGATACAGGCTGCAACCATTGCTGCAAGGGGCAACCCCTGGAGCGAAAATAGATAATTCGTGTTAATCACCTGTGACCCTTTCGTGGTCCGAAATCTGACTCCGAAATTTAAGAACAGTTAAAAATGCTATGAAATAAATCTTTCATCTAATTTTCGTATATCATATCATTTTCAGGTGAATCTCGTTTGCACGACAGCGGTGATTGAAAGCCCAATACGGCTTGTTTTGGATGAATTTGATACATGTGTATAAGCAGACAGACAACAGAATTTGGAGTGTAAATCGAAGTGAAAAGGAGACGGTGAGTGAGCCAACTTGATGTGTTGAGGCATGACGAAATGTCTTTATTTATAATGCAGTTACCCATACTTGGTTTCCACCTTCCCTTTATCAATCAAATGACTCACGTGACCGTCTTGTCCTTACCTTCAATCGAGCTATCATTTGGTTACACGAGGAATGGATCTCGGAATGCTCATCAATAACTTCCTAAGTACATGCATCATAATGCCTAATCCTCCTGTACCTGTGAGTTTCTCACTAACTGAATCACTGATCGATGGTAATACTTGTACTTTATTCAACACTACTTTTCCTCCAAGTAATTTGCGACCATTAGCTGAAGTTAAACTGTATGGATCATCAATGTATGTAGAAATCTTCTGATATTGACGGGCTGGCTTGGTTAGCGTGTGTCATTGTGAGGAACGTTGATGGCATAACTGTAGAATCCATTTTGAATGCTTTGCATTGGGAAAATCCCTCCATGTACATTGTAATATGTTCTTACTGACTCTTTCTGTGATACATTTTAGTACTCTGTTTCATCCCATTTTGTGATGTTAATAACTGTATTTTGTTATAGTTTATATTTTTGTACCTTTATTGGAGTTTCTATGTTTTTTACTGAACTGTATTATATTGTTTAGGTTGATACTTAATTATGGCTACAGTCATATCGGATTTGTTGCCTTGGTGGGTAAAGCGCGCATCTGGATTCGAAGGGTGCAATATTGGACCTAAACGGAAGCATTCTTCCATAATAGGAAACACGTTGTTTTAGTTTTGACGGAAAACATTGTAATATTGTTTAGGTAATTATCTGTATTTCTTGATTAATAATAGAACTGTTTCTTACCCAGATAAATTGCTTTCTTTTTGGATATCCGGGCAAGGTACGTATCTAAACTTCCAGAACTGTTTTTTCCGAATTTAGAATCCAATCTGAATCTTACAATGATGTCCAGATTTATTTTCTGAGGCGAAAATCTAACTCAACCTGTAGTCAGCATGATCGATAGCACTCGAATAAACCACTGCCTGGCAATAACTTATCTTTGGGTTGACTGTATGATTCGGCTATTCATAAAATAAATGTCAGTGTAGATCCTAAAATCATTGAAATAACTTCATTCCCACGTGTTGTTATCAAAGTCGACTTGTCGCAAAATTCAGAAGATCTCGGCTGACTGAGCATGTATTTTGCGTAATCAGATGGACTAAGGATAGAAAATTACGAAACCTCAGTTATTTCTAAACGAAAGATCTGCTCCTCGTCGAGAATGATCACGTATTTGAAATGGTTTATGTCTTTACAAGAAACTTCACATATCAGTTAAACCTGCTACTTATACGTTAATAGTTCCGATCTAACGTTGTGCAAGTTGATGACCTAGGGAATAACCAACATGTCCATGACTTATTTACTTACTAAAGCTTGTTGTCCTGATTGCAGCATAGGCCACCGCACAGCATTCTCCAAACTACACTTTCCTGGGCCTTACTTTTCACTTCCACCCAACTGTTATGCATTCTTTTCATGTTTGTTGCCGAACTTGTTCGCCATCAAGTTCCTCGAGGTGATCCTCGAAAAATTACGCATTAAAGAGCGAACACCCAGGTGTAATTGGATTTCTATCGTGACAGTTCAATTCGATTCCAATAGACGTATGTTGGACGCATTTCCCGACTTGTAATATAAAAACACAATAATTCTAGGGGAAAATGGTCTATTAATAAATGATAAATGGAAATACAAATAATACCTAACGAAATTTACGTCTTCCAATTCAAAATTACTCTGAACGAGTATCAATGTTCCGAGGTCTAGGTGAACTCCTATACTGCACGATGTCGAATCCAAAAATGTGGCGGTAGCCATATTATATCAAATTTAAACAACATATGTACAGTTCAGAAGCAAACATAAAAACTTCAATATAAGTACAAAATATAGAAAGAATAACAATATACAATGATAAAATCTCAAATTGGAATCAAATAAAATACCAAAGATGTCAACAGAAAAGGTCCGTCATGTCATAACAAAAATATGTAAACATGGAGGGATTTTCCAAAACACAAAACATTCAAAAAGGATTCTACACCGGCCCGCAAAATCCCTCCATGCAAAAAGCAAGCGTTAATGACACTTCTATTTAGGGTTCCCAGTTATCCCCTAATCCACACCGGAAGAACGTGTAGGACTTACAGCAGTACGCCTACCCGCCATCCAACATGGATATGACCTATCG